CTTCAGGATCTTGGCATGCTCAAGGTGCATACCAAGTATGACTACAAAGTAAATTCCCCTGCCTTTTGTGGAAGACTTGAAAAATTACCTTATCTTCTAAAATGTTAGCTTAGAATATTTACTCCCGAGCAGTCTGATGTAATTTTTGCTGGATTTTAAAGACATTTTTAAATGATATTAATGTTACACAAAATCTTTTGCTGTTTGATGTCAGCTTGAGATTTCAGGGTGTGGAATCAGATTGCAAAGAAGTGTGATTAACTGTCATCATTCCATGTTTATGTCTGTCTACCATAATATAAGATATAACAAATGATGGAAGCCTTCTAAATTCACTTCTTTCTGGTCATGGAGCATAACCTGCTTAATAACCAATTCTTACAAACTTTTGCGCGTTAAAGCTGTTATTCCTTTAACAATTCTTCCCTAAGAACAGTGTCTCAAAAACTAAATTGCTGTTTTGATATGTTAGAGTTCAGCTTAGTCTTGCATGCAGAGTCATAAAGTTTGCTGTCTTAATTTATTCAAGAAAAATTAGTAATAAATCAGACACAATTGTATTTAAAACACAATAAAATGTGGATTTAAATCTTTAAAAAATAATAAATGGCAAGTTCTCACAGGGAAGTGTTTATATAACCTTGCCATTTCCTCCATAGTCAAATTTACAATTTCTCCTTTGTACACATTTTAATTACACATATACATACCATATTGACACAATAATAGTGTTATTTTTTGTTACTTCTTTGTTAATTTTCTTTTACTTACCGATTCTGCTTAATATTTTTTAAATTTTAATTTCTTTGAAAGTTCCATCTTGACATTTTTCCCTCAGTATAATACCTACTTTTTTTGGAACCAGAAGTGATCTTCCTCTTTCTCATTCTCCATTGTCAGACAGTCTTGTTCTTCATTGTCAAAACCTGGAAGCATTTAAAGTAAGTGAAAATGAAGGGTCTCACAAGAAGATTGTCACCAAAGGCTGAGCTGTTACTTCGTTTTTATAACCCCAATCTCTAATCCTTCAATTACTGTAGACTCTCCATAGAACTTCTTCTAAAAAACATTTCTTGAATGCCTGATGATTTTTGAGGAATGGTTCTAGGTGCTTGGTGTTGGGCATCTCCGGTGGCCGCACGGGACCCCAACAGGTTTTTCCTTTCCCTAGAGGGTTGGGGTGAAAGGGATTGCCCTTTTCTCCCCACCAGGACGCGGGGCAAAAAGAGATTCCAAGAGATGGGTGAGCAGGCCGCTGCTCTCCCAGATAGGGAACAAACACATACACACACAGCGGGGGTTCTGTCAGGCAGTTCCTTTTATTGTAACACAAAAGATCATATTTATATGCTTAGCAGGCGGGGATTTCCAAGCTTAGGCCAATCCTTGAAAAGGTCAAATGTGCATGTGCCTTGTCTCTCTATGCTTAGCCCTCCCCCTTAACTTCCCTTGGGCACCACCTTTTATCCATTTAGACCATCTGTTGTTTTTGCTTAGAAAAAGGGCGTGGTCCCATAGCTTGGGATAAAAAAAAATGAATCGTATGTGTTCTATACTTTGAAGAGGGAACAGTCTAATGGGGGAATGGATAATTTTAGAGTAGACAATCATATTCATTTTTATAGCATTGTATAGTCAAATAATATAGCATAATGATAATAAAGTCTGTATTGTTCTCTTTATCACCTGAGCTTAGAAGAAACAGCTTTTGAGCAAGTTTTGTATATATATAAATTGCAAAATTTTAAAAATATTTATAGACATTTTTAAAAACTTTATTTTGAAATAATTGTGGATTCACAGGAAACTGCAAAAATAGTGCATAGAGATTCCAAATACCCCTCACCCAGATTCCCCCAATGGCTACATCTTATATAACTATAGTACATTATCAAAACTAGTAAACAAACATTGATACAATGTATGTGAATAATTATATGCTATTTTATCACATATGCAGATTTGTGAAACCATCACCACAATCAAAATACAGAACTATTTCATCACATGATTTTTTTCCTACTACCCTGTTATAGTCTCAACTACTCCTTTCTGCCCCCACATCCCTAACCCATAGGAGCCACTAATCCATTGGCCATTTCTATAATTTTGTCATTTTGAGAATGTGATATAAGTGAAATTAAACATTATGTGAACTTTTAAGACTGGCGTTTTTTCACTCAGCATGATGCTTTTGGAATCCATCCAGGTTGTTGCATCTGTTATACCTTTTCATTGCTGACTAGTATTCCATAAAATGGATGTACCATAATTTGTTTAATGATTCACTTATTGAAGAACAATTTGATTGTTTCCAGTTTTTGTCTACTACAAATAAAGCTGCTATGCACATTTTTGTACAAATTTTTTTGTGGACTAAGATTTTCAGTTCTACAGATTTCTAGATCATATGGTAAGTGTATATTTAGTTTTTGTAGACTAAATATATGTTTAGCTTATACTACATTTAGTTTATAACACATTCCCGCCAGCAATGTATGAAAGATTCAGTTTCTCCACATCCTTGCTGGCATTTGTTATTTGGTATTGTCAGTAATTTTTATTTTACTTTTCTGACATGTGTACAGTGATATTTCATTGTACTGTTAATTTGCATTTCTGTAACAGTTAGTGATGTTGAACATCTTTTGTGGGCTTGTTTGTCCTCCTTTCATCCTCTTCAGTAAATTTTCTCTTCACTATCTTTCGCCCATATTCTATTTAGAGTGTGTGTTTTTACTGTTGAATTTTGAGAGTTCTTCAAATAATCTAAATATAAGTCCTTTGTCAGATATATGGATTGCAAATATTTTCTCCCAGTCTGTACCTTGTCTTCTCAATCTCTTAACAAGATCTTTCACACAGCAAAAATTTTTAATTATGATAAAATCCAATACATAAATTTTTTGTTATGGATTATATAAAATTTTTTGTCAGGAATAGTATGTGTTTAATTTTTTCAAATACCTACCTTTTATGAATTTTGTCAAATACCTCTTATGATCATGTGATTTTTCTTACTTAGCCTACTAATATGGTGGATTATATTGATTTTTGAAAATGGAACCAGCCTTGCATCCCTGGAATAAACCCAAGTTGATCACATAATTCTTTTTATATATTCCTGAATTGTATTTACTAATATTTTGTTAAGGACATTTGCATCAGTATTGATGAGGGACATTGGTCTGTTGTTGTCTCTGTATTGGTTTTGATATTAAGGTAATACTGGCCTCATAGAATGAGTTGGGAAGTATTCCCTCCCTTCTACTCATATGTTCTGGAACTGACTGTGTAGAAATGGTGTTAATTCTTCTTTAAACGTTTGGTAGAATTCTCCAGTGAAACAATTTAGGCCTGGAGGTTTCTTATTTGGGATTTTTTAAGTTGTAAGTTCTATTTCCTCAATATTTACAGGGCTACTCAAATTATTCATCTGAGATTGAGTGAGTTGTAGTTTGTGCCTTTTGAGGAATTTGCTCATTAAATTTATGTGTGCAGGCTTGTTCTTAGTATTTCTTTAAAAAAAAATTTTTTTTTCAGTTTTTTTTTTTTAATCAAAACATGATTGTACATGTCTGTGGGGTACAGAGTTGCATATCAACACTCAGTTTTTTTTTTTTAATCAAAACATGATTGTACATGTCTGTGGGGTACAGAGTTGCATATCAACACCTATGTGCAATATGTGATGCTCAAATCAGGAAAATTAGTGTATTAGATAATATACGATGTTACCATTTTTCATGGCCCTTTATCAATTCCTCCCGTACCTCCTTCCTCTCCCCCTTTCCCACCTCTGGCAACCTCGGTTCTGCTCTCTTCTTTTGAAAGTTCAACATATTTTTGTGATTGTTGTATTATTTATTTATTTATTTATTTATTTATTTATTTATTTATTTATTTATTTATTTATTTATTTATTTATTTATTTATTTATTTATTTATTTATTTATTTATTTATTTATTTATTTATTTATTTATTTATTTATTTATTTATTTATTTATTCATTTATTTGGCTCCTACTTATGAGTGAGGACATGCAGTATTTCTCTTTCTGTGCTTGGCTTATTTCCCTTATTTCATTTTCTCCAAGCTCATCCATGTTGCTGCAAATGTCAGGATTTCATTCTTTTTTATTATTCTTAGTATTTCCTCATTATTTTTTTGATGTTCAAAATGTTGGTAGTTAGATTTCCTGTTCTATTCTTGATATTGGTAATTTGTGTCTTATTTTTATTTTGCTTTATCAGTCTTGCTACAGATTTGTTAAATTTTAGTTTTCTCTTTTCAAAGAAGCAGCTTTTTGTTTTATTGATTTTTCAAAATTTTTTTTCTGTTTTTAATTTCATTGATATCTGCTCTTTGCTATTTCCTTCTTTTTGCTTGCTTTTGCTTTGGATTTATCTAGC